AAAATACTGAACGATGCAGGAAGCATCAAAGGAAGATGGAAGGAATATACAGTCATTGTACCAAAAAGAATTGGTTGACGTTCAGCCATTTCAGGTGGCAACATGATCTAGAACTGATAGTATTCCAGGAAGAAGTCCAAGACAAGGCTCCAGAGATTGATGGACTACCACTTGAAATGTTTGAACAGATGTATGCAGCACTGGAAACACTCACTAGTTTATGCCAAGAAATTTGAAAGCCAGGCTAACTACCTGACCAACTGACTGGAAGAGAACCCTATCTGTGCCCATTCCAAAGAAACGTGACCCAACAGAAGTGGAAATTACTGAGAGTTATCATCAATACCACGTGCAAGTAAAATTTGCTGAAGATAATGAAAACACAGTTGCAGCAGCACTTTGACAAGAATCTGCCAGAAATTCAAGCTGGATTCAGAAGAGGATGTGAAATGAGGGATATCATTGCTGACGTCAGATGGCTGTTGGCTGAAAGATGTTTACTTGTGTTTTATTAACTATGCAAAGGCATTTGACTGTGGGGATCATAACAAATGATGGATAACATTTCAAACAAGGAGAATTCCAGAACACTGCATTCTACTCATGCAGAACCTGCTCAAAGATTAAGAGGCAGCTGTTTGAACAGAACAAGGGGATACTGAATGGTTTAAATTCAGGATAGATGTGCGTCAGCGTCAGGATTGTATCCTTTTCACCACCACTTGCTCAATCTGTATGCTGAGCAAATAATCTGAGAAACTGGACTGTTGTTGTTGTTGTAATGTGCCTTGGAGTCGGTTCCAACTCATAGCAACCCTGTACAGGGTTTCCAAGGCTATAAATCTTTACAGGAGCAGAAAGCCTCATCTTTCTCCCGCGGAACAGCTGGTAGTTTCAAACTGCTGACCTTAAGGTTCGCAGTCCGATTCGTAACCACTACGCTACCAGAGCTTCTTCATATAGTCCAGCTTCTCTGGACTATATGAAGAAAAACACAGGATCAGGATTGGAGGATCATTAACAACCTACAATATGTAGATGACACAACCTTGCTTGCTGAAAGTGAACTGGACTTGAAATATATTTGCTGATGAAGATAAAAAATACAGCCTTTAGTATGGATGACATCTCAATGTAAAGAAAACTAAAATCCTCACAATTGAACCAGTGAACAACATTATGATAAATGGGGAGGAAAGATTGAAGTTGTCAAGGATTTCGTTTTACTTGGATCCACAGCCCATGGAAGGAGCACTCAAGAAATCATGCACCCTCTGCATACAGGGTAGACAGGGACCGGCAGATTAGACACTGGTTACCTAAAATGAGGGGGCGATAAAGGCACAAAGTAACTGGCTTACAAGGTTTCAAGGGGGAGTTGAATTTAAGGGTGTGCAGGGGAAGACAAGAGTTCCCACTGAATAGTTTTCATCTTGTCTAGACAGGTCTGGTGAAAAGAGATGGGGATAAGATTCTTATGATTCAGTAGTAATTGTTACCATGACTAATTGAGACTGTCACAACCATACAGGTAGAAGTTTTGTAAAAAAAAACAGGGAAGTAGTTAATCTTACAGGACCATCAAAGGAGAAGAGCACAAGCAGAAGGTGGGACCCTATCCAGAAAAGCAGCAACACCAGAGATGGAGGCAGAGATGATGACATGGAGACAGGGAGCCAGCTGAAGACGCTAGATTCATGGAAAGAGAGGGACTGGGTGCTGGCAGCCAGGAGGCAGACTTGCAGAATGTGTCCTTTGGTTGTTTAAATTATTATATATTCCTGAGTGTGTTTGTGTACATCTCCCACCTGCCCGCCCCCTAAAAAAACCAAAATAAACAGAGGGAATGGAAGCAAATACTGTTGAATTATGATGCATGGAGGAGATTGTAATTATTGTATAAAGCCGATGTTCTCCCATGTAAACTATCACTCAGTTCACATTGGGAAAATCTTCTGCAAAAGACCTCTTTAAAGTATTAAAGACCAAAGATATCACATTTGAGGACCTGACCCAAGCCATAGGATTTTCAATAGCCACATATGCATGTGCAAGCTGAACAATGAATAAGAAAGACAGAAGAATGTATGCATTTGAATTATGGTGTTGGTGAAGATTTTTGACTATACCATGGATTCCAGAAGAACAAATCAATCTATCTTGGAAGAAGTACAGTCAGAATGTCCCTGGACGTAAGGGTGGTGAGACTTCATCTCATGTACTTTGGACATATTATCAGGTGGGATCAGTTCCTGGAGAAGAACATCATGCTTAGTAGAGGGTCAGAGAAAAAGATGACCCATAATGAGATGGATGACACAGTAGCTGGTAACAGGAGGCTCAAACTAGTTTTGTAACATAAAGCGGGGAGTTGCTAACATTCCAGGAGCAGAGAACCCTAGGAGAAGAGCATGAGCAGAAGGTGGGACACTAACCAGAGAAGCAGTGACACCAGAAATGGAGGCAGAGGCAATGGCATGGAGAAATAGAGCAGCTGAGGACTCTAGACTCATGGAAAGAAAAAGCCTGAGTGCTGGTGGCCAGGAGGCAGGCTTGCAGAATGTGCCCTCGGGTTGTTTACATAATTATATTTCCCTGAGTGTTTTAGTATGCATCAAAACACACACACAAAAACAGAGGGAATAGAAGCAAATACTGTTGATGCATGGAGGGGATTGTAATCATTGTAATGAAATGAAATACGCTAGGATGAGTGCAAAACCGGTGTTCTCCCATGCAAACAATCACTCAATTCACAAAGCTTTCTAAAAACACTAAACAGTAAGCTCAAACTGTTTAGTTGTGAGGATGGTGCATGACTGGACAGATTTCGTTCTGTTTGTTATGCGTAGTCTCGCTATTAAGTGACTCAAAGTCACATAGCAACAATAACAATACTAACTAAAGGCCGGTAGTTCGAACCCATCCAGCAGTACTTTAGAAGAAAGGCCTAGAAATGTACTTCTGTAAAGGATGTTGTTGTGTTGTGTAGAGTCAATTCTGCTCATAGCAACTTTATAAGACAGAGTAGAACTGCTCTGTAGTGTTTCCTAAATAGTAACCTTTATAGGACCAGATCACCAGGTTTTTTTCTCTTATGGGGTGGCTGCTGATTTCAAACCAACCCTTTGGTTAGCGGCCCAGCAATGTAATATGCCAACAGGTATCTTTCTGTATAAAGAAGCAAACCCTATGGAGTAGTTCTACCCCATAACATGAGGAGGCACCATGAGTTGAAACAGAGACCACAGCACCCGCTTGGCTGGTTGGTTGGTTGGTTGGTTGGCTGGTTGGTTGGTTGG